TTCGTGGCTCCTATCTGGTTTTTTAAATGGTAGCGGTGAGAGGAAGCACCAACCCTAAACCCCAAGGGGCCACGGATCAGACACGCAGAGACGGAAACACGCTCACAGCAGAGCAGACTGCTTGAGGGCGATAATATAGGGGGTTTCTCGTTATAGTTGTAGTAGAATAGGCCCCAACTAAAACCCTGTTCTAGTTATTCAGGCCCCTATATTATGAAAGTTGGACAGGTGCACCACAAAAACACAAGAGAGTGACAAGCGACAAGAGTTGCTGTACTCCAGTCATCAGGCAGATCGGGCCATTCGTCCTGAAAGACACATGCAAAAGACTTGATCTATACCATGAGGCATGCATGAGGCCTTTTCTCAATATCCGGGAGGTCTAGAAGTAGTCCAACAGATTTGAACTGTATCTCCGCAGTTTCGTCGCAACTTCGCCAAAGCTGCTAATTGGGCTGTCGTCCAGAATCCAGAGTGTATCAGGCAGTGCGTGATGGAAACATCAAAAACCTAGAAACCCCAGACAGAATCGACCCTGAACCTAGAGCTGCCGGGTTTAGGAATCGATGTGGGCGGGAGGTCTGCTTCCGACGGCTGGGACATGGCCTTTGCACCGGATAGCTCCGCTCTCTACGACGGCGTGCCTTGGCGAATATGGGAGTCGTGGAGAATATGGACACCCTTTTCAGTCTCCTGATATGTAATTAGGGTTGGGGTTGATGTGCCTGTGCTGTTGAAGTTGTCAATCATGTTGGAGCTGTGCTGATTTACCCGCGAGGAGAGAGGGCTTCGGTTCTCAAGTTTCCAAGTTCGCAGCTTTGAATCCCGAAGTTTTAAGTTTTTAGGCCGTTGGCCTGAGAAGAAGGCAGACCAAGCTCCCATCAGCGAGTTGGCTCTAAGGTGAGAGAAAGAGAGGTTTCGGGTATAATGGAGGGCTTACGGATATGCCCATGCCAAAACAAAATGTTTTCGGTAGTCGGGACTTGGAAGCCAGCCCGAACTTAGCAAGTCGAAGCAGTGGGCTTCCAGCACCAGAATCAGCCGGTTGGCACGGAAGATCGAGCGAGCAGGTGAGAACCGAATAGGGGCCTGAGAAAATTTGTGTGTTTGGCGATTTAGGGAAGTGTTAGAGCTAAGGTAACATGGGGCTTGAAGGGGACTATTTCTGAAGCTTGATTCAAATCCCTCTAGTGCAGATACTTCCTGGGATTTTGATGATTTTGTTGGCCGACTTCTGCGTGGGAAGGTCCTGGACTTAGCCATTCCCGTTTTGGGGTCTAGGAGTCTAGGCTTTCACGAGTGCGATGTGCTGCGGGAAATCTGGCCGGGCGAGCACTACTCAAGCCTGTGTAGTTAGGGTTTAGGGGTTTAGAGGGGTTTAAGGAAGCTTCGACCTCCTTCCTGCGTTCCTTAACAGATACACGGGGTCGTTGAACCAGAGATTCAGTATTGCTTGGCTTCCTCGTGCCGGGAGCGATGCCCTGAATCCCTGGACCAAGGCTTTAAGAGCCCAAAGGCACAAAGCCCGAACTCTAGCAGACTCTAGCATCGGTGCCCAGCCATTCTGAGCCGAGAGAGGGACAGAGAGCTAAGTTTCAGTGCAAACCCGAAGCTTGGTTGTGCTCTACTAAATTCCGCCTCTGTTTCCGTGCCCGCAGGTTAGTTTGCCCTTTAGCTGCTTGTGGCTCAGGCCTACAATAGCCGCCTATTCGGCACCGGGACAAAGGTTCCTTGGCTCTTGCAGCAGGAGCTGATAGCCGCAAGGGCGGAGATGGTTTCGATTGAGGTCCTGCTGAAAGGAAGCAAGGACTCGCGGCATGATACATTAGACATGCTGGTGGTTGAGACTGAAATCCAGGAATCTCATCTCTTCAACTGTAAGTCGCAAAGTTAGAGCTGGCTTCATCTCCACCTGCTTTTCGGTTCTTGTTTCAACATTCCCTAAATCGGGATTAGATTCTGTGGCTTGTTGCCAAGTGGCCAAATGTGTGTCTTCTCAGCAGTAGCGAAGGAAAGCAGGACGGCGGGCTGACTGTAAGACTATTGCCGTCAGGACTGCATTTTTTGTTTTTCCATGACCCCGGTAACAAGCAGCAGCAGCAGAGTCATCCGAGATATGGCCGGCATTTACAATACCTTCCTGAGTACGCTGAGGTCTCCGAGGAATTGGTGTTGGCGTCCGTGGATCAGTTGTTGCCACTGCTGCTGCTGCCTTTTCGTCGTCGCCGCTCGGGCTGAGAGCTACACGGTGCCATTTTTCCCAGGCTGTGTGTTTAGGGCTCCATTCTCCGCCAAAATTTGAAATAAGCCTCAACCATACCTTAAGCCCTGAGCACTGCCAAGCATGTTTGGGTGCTGTCCCTGATGGCTGGGGTGTTGCTTGTCAGTCCTCTTGTGGGCATCACCACGGAAACCTCAAACGTAAAAAAACAAATCCTGCCTCAGCAGAGAAGCGATTCTCAGTTCAAAGCGGCGTCAAAGCGGCGTGCAGGATGGTAGAATTCAAGGGGATGCTAGAATTCAAGGGTGACGGGCGGCTGTGCTCCCTGAGGTGACGCGGAAAGCATCCCTGCCACACCTCTGCCGAAACTGCCTGTTCAAAATCTTCCAGGACAGCTTGGCCACAGTTTTTGTGCGGATGAGTAAGTAGAGCATTGTTCTGGGTGTATAGTAGAGTATCTTGGCACAAGGAGTTGGGACTTATGATTCCTCCAACTCACGTCATAGTCTGCTATCTGCGTGGCCCAGGCATTTACCTTAAAGGGGTAAATGTCCCGCCATGTAAGTGGGGCGTGGAAGGTGATAAGACGACCAAGCCCTTGCTTGGACACAAGGGTCTTCACAACCTTTAGCGGATATGATCCAGACGCCGTGACTTTAGGCTTCTTGGCTTTGGGGCAGAGCCTTTAGCTCTTAAGCCCCTGAAACCCTGAAGCCCTTGACTGCCCCAAACGAGAAGCCTACATCACCAAACTGAAGCCCTGCAACCTAAAATCCTGAGCTTTCGGGCACTTCGCAGGCGGGCGACGTCGACGGACACTCTGTGGCTCGAGGGTCTATGAGTCGCTTTGCCGCGGGGATTTTTGGTTCCGAGCCATGGTTTAGGGTTTAGGGGGGTTTGAGGGTTTCAGGGTTTTGGGCTGACTAGGCTTGAGTCCAGTACGCCTAGCACACCGAGGGGGGAGGGTTTGAGGGTTGAGGGTTTAGCAAACAGGGGTGATTGCCAAGACAGCTCAAGTTGAAGAAGGCATGACAGTACCGTTGCCCGACAAACTCGACAGCTGCCACATCGCTTTCCTCGATCATGTACAGCTAATGAGGCTTGCGGCCTGCTGCTTAACACACACTTGATCGGTACTGCTCGGAAAGTCAGACATGCACGAAGAAGATGAAACACAATTCGATAACACTGCCTTGTCAGTTGCGCGTGCATGGCCAGCTCCTTCGGTTAGGCTGCGAAAGGCTCACACCATTTGTTTGGGCTGGTGGAGGTATTTAGCAATTTAGCGTGCATAATTCCACATACGTCCACATGAAGCGTGCGTGCAGACAATTTTCCAAGTTATGCTATATAGCGTGTACCATGGTGCAAATGCCAAGGTACCCCTCTGATCCTCTGCCCGATCGCTTTCTGCTGTGCCAAAAAGTCGCATCAGCTTCGTCGCCTTCTGACGAGCTTTGGGCGCCCCGGCTTTTGGGCTTGGGGTATTGAGGGGCTCTGACAGATTTGTTGGCGGAGTTTTGAGTCGTGGGTTCTCAAGTTATCTGCACGCAAGAATCTTCAAAGGTTCGGAGTTGGGGTTTCAGTAGTTTTCTCAGAGTTTGGGAGACCAATTCCCGTTTTGCTCTCTGGCCAGGCTAGTGGGTGTTGGGTTTGGGGGGTTTCGGTCTCGGGGTTCGGCGTCCAGGGTTGATTAGGGTTGAGGGGTGATTGCCGCAATTTGCGGGATTCCTAAACCCCCAAGCCCCGAAAGCCCCGAGAACCGCAATCTCCAACCTGTCCTGTGCGAGTCATTGAGTTTGAGCTCCAACCTCGTTCGCCCATGCTACCAGGATGACAATTACTTTTTGGTATTGTTGTTATTCTTATTATTACTATTATTGTTATTATGTCTTTTAAATTATTCTTACTCAGTCACCCACATAGCCGGCCACACAGCCTTGACGAACCGTGAGAAGCAAAATTGGTCGGTTCGGGTCGAAGGTTTTACGATGGGGGGGGGCCCTCGGAGTTTGATGGGCAAGTCTTGTGAGTTTGTGTGCCATCTCTTGCGAGCCTTTACGGAAGAAACATCGTGATGGGATGGAGACCTGAGCCCTATAAAAGAAGCTTTCTTCTGCAAAGATCAGCCTGCCCCGCGACGGGGGCAGTGCATGCGACACGCTAGCTCTCTGAACTTCCACGAACCATGCCAGGTTGAGCCCTAAAACCTGGACCTTACTTACGTATACGCCCTAAACCCTTAAACCCGAAACCCTAAACCCTAAACTCTGCCATTTTGGCTCAAGCTTTGCTCGCAGCCAGGGGTGGGAAACACATTGTCCTGTTTTTGCCATGTCACACCCTGTGGATGTGGCCTTTGAGCTTCCGCAAAGCCGCCGTGGTTTGGCACTGTGAACCAATCGCCATCACCCTGGAGAAGGCCAAACAAGCCAAACAGGCTCCTGCGCTCAATGAGAGGAGTTTCAGCAAACACGAAGGTGCTAGCAGTGCAGTCATTGCCTATGATCCAGACCAGAGCCTCGTCATCGTCAATGCTGGGACTTCAGCTTGTCGTGAAAGCATCCACGCGACGAGATTGCCAGCAGACTTGCTTGTAAAAGTCACGAAGGGCTTTTCAGTGCTAAGCGGTATTACAGCAGAATCAAGGAGCTGCAACCAAGGCCCACAATTCCAGAAGTTCCCGGCGATGGGTCTCCGGAAGATGGTTTTCTCGACTGACCTATGTGTGCTTCGCAAGTGTCCCGCAGAGTGAATCAGATAACCAGATGCCACTCCGTTTCCTGCTACTTCTCCGCTTTAGCACCGACGACCCACAGGTCAAGCATGGAGTTCCAGAGATTAAAAACTCTCAAACTACCACTCTGGATCCCTAAGACCTTGTGCATACCTTGTGCAACTCCTTCCTGTGATTCTTGGAACTCCTCAACGAGATGGAAACGTTGGAGCAGGCAAAAGTCGCGGATCTGCGCAGCAGATCTCGACTCTGCGCTCAACGTACTGCGGCGTCGTGGACTTTGCAGGGCAGGAACGGACGACTGGGACATTCCGGACATTCCCTTTGGAGGCTAGCGGGACGGAGGAAGAGGTACAAAAGGACGGAAAGGCCAGCGAGCCCTCTGCGAAGGAGCAGCAGCGCATTAACCAGTCCACTCCAGTCCTCGCCGGCATGGACGGCTGCAATTTTCCAGGAGCACTGTCCCTTCATTTTCTGATATCGCGTGACAGGACCATCCGGAATGCTCTTGATCGCTTTCTTTGCGCCGGGAGTAACCCACGGTCACCTCATGACTTGGCTAGCCTTAACTCCAAAGCCCCGTTCTTGTCAACGTTGTTAATAGACTCGTTTGTTCACTAATTAGCACCTAGCTTCTGTTATACCGTTATACCACCTTTATCATCCGTGGTAAGTGTATCTCCAAAGTTCATGGAGACCCCCAAAACGGACCCCAGCCCGCTCTGCTTACCTCACTGACCCTAGCTGGACCTTCTGAAGGACTGTGGCTCCAGGACCCTTCGGGTGTAACCTTCCAGGACTTTCTTGGTAAAAGTGTTGCTGGTCATATTTACCCCATCTTCCCAAAGCCCTTGATCTTTGATGCCCGCAACAAACTTCATGCAGGTTGTTCTGAGGATCGTCGTAGGATCATCCTTATAGCCTTCACCACCCTGCACATCAGCAACATGCGCCTCGTCAACAGGTGGCTGTTAGGCGAACAAGGCTTTCCAGTCCCGAACTCGACGGATGTTCAAAATTATCTTCACTCCTCGCTGCATGAAGTCCGTCTTAGACAACGAACCCTGACAGAATGCCTGGCTCTTCCCATCGATAGACGTGATAAATTTGACGTCATCGAGATCATTTCGGAGGACTCTGATTCAGATGTGGAAGAAGTGTGAGACCTGTAGGTACATAGGTGTGCAAAGCGCCACTGCTGCCTGTTTCTCTCGACTCCTTGCGCTGGCGAGCTGCGACTCTGCGTCCTTGCCTTTGCCGGACCGTTGAATTTGCTTCCCCCTTGCGCCTTGCTTAACTTGCATGGAATTTGATACATGACTGTTGCATGCTCTGTCCGGGGGCCCTTGCTACTGTAGACACCCCGCTGCTGTGACTATGCCTGTTTTTGGCTGAAATATCCCATCCTGTGAATGGCAGTGCAGTTGCATGCCCCTGATGTGCGGCAATCCTCTTGGCTCTGACCCTAGTGGAGCACATCGAGATTGAAGTTTATCTTTCAGAGGAGTGATGGCCAAAGAGTGGAGCAGAGCCAGACTAGGGCTGGCCACGACATCGATGCCCTGCCCACCGGATGCGAAACTCCGTTGCTTCTTCAGTGCATAGAGCAGATGGCTCTCGCTGAAAACGGAGGGGTGCATGAAACCACCTGAGAACGCTGACCCGCTGAGACCGTAGACCTGAAGCCTCTCGTGCACCAAAGAGTGCTAGCCACATTAGTCTGCTGAGGTATGCTCCTTCTTCCTTATTTGCTGCTCGTTCTTGTGTTGTCCCTGCATGCCAACCCTTGGCCACACGACTTGTCGAACTTCTGCCAGGGATAAGCTTGTACCCTGTGAGCTTTGTCTGGTTGAAATATTTGGCTTATCTGGGTGATGGAGTTTTTTTTCTGAACTTTGTGTTTCTGCCGTGCGTAGTACTAGGCAAAGCAAGCAACCTGCTTTCACGCCGATTCGAACCTACGAGCCTCGCCTGGCATGTCCGAGTTGTGAGAGCCTAAACCCTAATATCTCACAAATCGAGAAGTGTACCAAGGAACCCTGAACTCTAAACCCAACCACTTCGAAGATGTAGTCAGTTTATCGTAGTTGGAGACAGAGACCTCGTCTGGCGGAGTCCGAAATGAAAAAAAAGCTTCACTCTGAACTTTGGGCCACCTACCGAGCTCGCAGGCGATTCACGTAGACGACTGGGGCAGTGACGGCCACTGGCCTGAGACCAGAGATGTGCACATTAGGGTCGTTTTAGGGTGCCGTTAGGGTTTCGTTTAGGGTTTAGCGGTGTAGGATTTAGGGCTTATAGGGTTTAGGGTTTAGCGGTGTAGGTTATGAACACACTTGGGCAGAGCACAAACAGATGTTTGTGTCTATATTGGCCACATACACCCCGCAGACCAACCATATCATGTGTCGACAGTTTTGCTGAGTACAAAGTGATGTACTCTTACAGATGCTGCCTACCCATTGAAGTCAAACCACACACTGAGCCCTCAACCTCTGTGTACACTACATTTGGCAATCCCACAAGTGCCTTCCAACGCTTTTGAAGTGATGCCCGGGCAATCCTCGACCCGAAAGTGCCAGCTAGCAGCTCGTTTGGGCACATGAGCCCGTAGGCCCTTAGCGGTAGCTGCTTTGTACATCCGCTCACTGTCACCCGTGCCCTGGGAGTGGGGTAAAGTAGTAACGCGAGCTGGAGCAAGAAAAACGCCCTAGACCCAAGCCTTCGTGGCATTTTGGGCTTGGCACATCCTCGGGAAATCTCGCTGCAAGTAGGTGCCGCCACTTCCCAAATTGCGAGTGTGTAGAATCCGCGTCCCGAACGTTCCCGAACATTAGAAGCCTTAACCTTACAAGCCCTATGACCAAAAAACGCATAAACCACCATAAACCCTAAAGCCCTCAACTCCAGGATTTTGAAAATGAAAAAGCCTAAAGATGTCGAGGTGAGAGGAGCTATCGGCCAGCTCTGCAGCTGAACTGAACTCTCGTCAGGGCCTTTTGGGGTTTAGCCGTTTAGGTTTAGGGAATTCGGCTCGAGATGGTTTCGGGGTTAAGGTTCGGGGTTCTGCTGGTTTTTAGGTTTAGCGTGGCAAAGGTTATTGATCAGGTGTTTGCGACGGGGTCTACGTGCAGATCTGAGTGCGGTGGGCGATTGGATTAAGCTTGACAATGCTCGGGGTGAACGACTTGGGTGGTCCTGGTTTGTGCTTGGCTTGGAGAGTGTAACTACTATCTTGGCACAGAGGTTCCCTAAACCCTAGTTGCACCAGACATTTGTTTTCGAAACAATTGACCTCGAAGTCTCGTCGCAGAGTTCGCAAACCAAGCTGCTTAACCAAACCTTAAAGCTTGTATTTTTTGCGGGGTGCGTTCAAGGCGCCATGCGTTCAATTAGGCAAGGAGAAAGAGCAAGGTTGTTCCGGTTTGTGAATTGTGTCCGAAAAAAAGAAGCAAGACCCGAAGCTGGCAAATATTGCACTTTAACTACGGAACATACCCTAAGCCATGGCATGAAGGCCCTTATGGTTTAAGGTATATTCCTTAATTAAGGACCAGCGGATTGAGGCATGTGCTGTTCCTGGTGGACGAGGCGCTTGCATCGTCGGAGTTCAAGAAAGAGGCTCAAACCGGGTCTTGTTGGTGGTGGGTTTAGGGGTGTAGCTTCGGGTGTAAGAGTTTTTGGCTGTGGGATTTCGTGCGCGGGCTTGGCGTGTTTGAAAATATCACCGGGCCCCGTGTCTTTGGCTGCGGTGGCGTTCTTCCAGCTTGCGTGGGGGAATAGTTGCAAATGCCTGTGGTCATGACTCTTAACGTCAACTTGCCAAGAGTATCTAATTTAATCGAGAAAGCAGGACTTATCAAGCAGGATGCTCCCGACAAGGGTCACGAAAGACACACCTCAACAGCCCCGGAGGTGCAGGCCAGAACTACACGAATCTCTATGCTCTATGCGTCTGCAAAACAGAGGTACAGGTACGGCACAGGCGATTTCATACGCCTTCCCACCATACACAGATACAGCGCTGAAATACTCCAACAGTACTGAGTGAGCTGCCGTGTAGTCTTGGGCCTGAGCCAATAGCAACCGACTCGGCATCCTAAGCCAGCCGCCCATCAATCGGCCCTGAGCTCTAACAGCCCAAACCCTACCCATAGTATCCATGCTAGTCCCATTTTTGGGTTAAACCTATTATATACATATATATATATATGTATACATATATATATATATGTATATATATATATCTACATATTAATAACGATCCTATAAGGTAACCCTAGAAAGGAACTGCAGTGGAGACTCTAGGTATACACCAGGCCCAAAATGCACGTTCGAGTTACTTCTACGACTCCTCCCAGCACCACGCGTTATGGGCGGGCCTATTTTTCGTGGTGGCTTCCATTCTTCTGGGATCCGGATTTCACCCTGCAGCAACCGCTTCGAGCGCAGAGGTCCCAATATTGGTGGAGACGCTGACGGGCCAACTTCAGGCTTTCCAAGCCAATGATTCCTTAGAGGTTTTGCTGTTTCGGGCTCCATATTATAAAAGGTTTTTTTTTGTCAGGGCTGTGTAACACAGTGTTACTAGTAAGATATAGTGGCAAAATAGACTTACTTACGATACAGCCAGTCGAAGCAACAGTGGGCTTAGCAGTGGGGGGCTGAGGTTCGGGATCTCGCGCGTTCGGGGATTGTGGAGTTTCGGCAGGCAAGCGTTTAAATGAATTGCGGGTAGGTGCTGCTATCGGCACAGTGCTTTCGTCCAGGAGTGTCGTGGTTTGCTCCAGAACCCTGACACAGTAGACCGGATACACACCTGGGAGCACAGAAGAAGTCAAGTTCGCACATGAGAGTTCCACAGAGTCCTGCAGCTTTACTGTCATAGTGGTTTGCAGCGACATGGTGGTACTGCGGCTTCGATGGTCGTCTCCTCTATTGCTGCCTTTGGAGTTCTTGTCACTGCCCCTACATCCCCAAAGGTCTTGAGCTAGGGTACAAGTTCTCTGAGCAGACTTGGCAACCCCCCCCCCCCCATCCCCGTGTTTTCTCCGAAGCCCTGGGCCGAGGGCATCACGTCGCTGGTTCTCTTCAACTCCGCGGGGGTGGACTCGAGCCTTTGTAGCTTGCCAGAGCTCCAGGATGTAGGACCGATGCATACCGATATTGAAGAAAACACACTGAACCCAGGTTCGGGCATCCATCTTGTGCATATGTGTGGCTTAGGAGCTTAATTCGGCTTACGCTGGACCGTCCTGGGAAGTTGCTCGGGGCTCGGTATGAACTCCTTTGCCGAACCGAGAAACAACTGAGCCCGAAGGCCCGGAACTCTGAAGCTGCAAAGCAGCAACGGTTTGGGGTTTAGGGTTTNNGGTTTAATGAGGTTTAGGGTTTAGGGTTGAAGGGATGTTTAGGGCTTAGGGCCTTAGGGTTTAGGGTTTGGGGCATCATGTACTGTACGATATCAAAGCACCTCTGCCTCTTGCAAGCCGCTGCATCTTCACGTTTCAAGCTCATAAAGCATCCCTACTGTAAACCCGAAGCGTAAACATCACTGTACCCGGATCCTAAACATACCGAGATTTGACCCTAAACCCCATGGGCCCTAAGCTGTAAACCCAGTAGTTGCGAGCCTTGCCTACACCTAGAAAGCTAAGCCATCAATCCAAAACAACTTTCCCCTAGACCTGCAGATCCCGAAGCCCCAAACCCCAAAACAAGTTACAACAAAACCATGACAAGAACATGATAACTTGAAGCATCCCAACCCTGTTCCCAAGTTGACACGTCGCAGTTCGGTTTAGAATTTCTAATGTGTATGACTTGCGCATGTCGGGCTACACCGTAAGCCGTAAACCGTTAAACCTAATGACCTAATAGTTACAGAACATCACTCCCTGGTGGCGTGCATTTTCCATAGTTGTACTAGCCAATAATAATCACATCTTCACTACGTAGTGGCAGCAGGATAGAATACCAATCATACATAACCTGAGTATCATCGTAATGTAGTACTGGTTATGATTATGAACTTTTTGGTTTTAAGTTTTTGCCATCTCAGGCGTTCCCTGGGGTGCGTCGAGCTCCTTCCCTGCACGCTTCGGCGACCGCTGGGCGAAATCCGGCGCACGCGGCGGAGGCGGAGCTGTCGAGGGCTTTCAGGCTTTTCTCTTTATATGAGGTCTCATGAATTTAAGTGTACGGCTTTGGCTTGGTATGAGGTTTCTCTGGGGTTCAGGGCTGTTAGAAGGGTTTGAAATAGTTTTCGGGTTGAGGGTGTAGGGAGTTTTGCAGACAGTTTTGTTTGTTGAGGGCGATGGCCTCTCGCTTATTTCGGCTACCGGGTTATACTTTCCAACTGCAACCAGAAACTGACGCACCTTGGGAGAAGCCTAAAATCTAAGCATTCATACCTCGCCGCAAGAATTTGGGGCTTACTTCAACCCATGCCAGGATGCCGCCGATGGGATTGATTTGAGGTTGAACATCTCAGAGACTTCTGAACCCACAAGCAAGCCAGTGAACCTAAGCAAAAAGCCGATGCCCTCAACTTCTTCTGAAGATGTGAACGGCCCTGAAGCGTCAAAGGGCCGAAGATGGTCGGGCTTGAGGGATGGTTGGAGTTTTCATAGGGTTTGAGAGAGGTCTTAAGGTTCAAGGGCTCCGGCTTGAAGTATTTGCTATGCAGGCTTTGCAGCTTTCTGGATGCAAACTTGAGGGACTTGGTTTCTACACAGAGGTAATCTGGCTGCCGGGATTCTCTATGCGTCGGACTCGATGATTTCCAAGCTCGCCAAGGACCGTGGGGCTTGAGGGCAGGCAAGTAACTATGCAAGCCCTCTCTTGCGGTTGGCTCGGGTGTGATTTGAACTGCAAGCCCCAAAACAAGGGCGTTAGCAGGCGATTGATCTTACTGCATGTCTAGCTTGAGTCCTGGAAATAGCAAGCCCTCAAGCCACTATCCTATTGCCATGGTATCGACAGGTAGTACCTTCACAGCCAAAGATCGCCTTTTGGCTTTCTACTAATCCAAAGCTCCAACTCTCATCCCCTCAAAAACTACCCTTGCGACCCGACAGCCCCGTTCCGCCTTGTCATATGACAGGAGATCGTAAATTCAATAAGCCTTCTGTAAGCCTTGTAAACTCCAAACCCTAAACCCGAAACTGACTGTTGCCTCGTATTCCAGGAGACCGAGGCAGAACTCCTCTCCTCCGGCGCGCCCTGGCGAAGGCGCCGGGCCCTTGTTTGGGCGATTTAGGGGTTTGGTTTAGGGATCTTTGGGGCAGAAGGTGTAAGGTTTTTGTTTGCGCTAGCGTCTGAATTATGGCTCATGTGTGTACTTCTTTCGCCTACTTATCATATTATTATCGCGGCGTTGAGAGCAATCAGTGAGGCACATTCTCCGCATGTTCCAACAGTGTGCCTCCAGTCATCTGGGTATCTCAGCAAGTGGGCTAGCTGGAGCACCTCCCAGCAAAACCCAAAGCCCCGACCTTTCTGAGGGTTCCTTTGTGACCCATGATACAATATCCCCCCCACAACTGCTAAGATCATTAACCATCAATCAACGATCCTGACAGAAACCCACCCATTAACGGATCCTTACAGGAACCCTTTGTGCCGTCTTATACGCTCCTCAACTCGAGGCTCCGGCCTGGCATGGAAATCGACACCACATCTGGTGAAGGTGCTCGTGGCCTCCTAGCAAGCTTGAAGAAGGGTAACAAACTCAGGAAGTGAGAGATATGAGTCGAGGCCTGTACGAGGGCTACATGGGGGCTTGGTAGGGCTGTCATAGTGGGCTACGATAAATTGTCGCAGTAGCCCGCCATATCGGGTTTTGCTCAGGCGGCTGTAGGGTTCTATGCGGTCTTAAGCATAGTCTGGCATAGTGTCTCAGCATATCCCCGTATAGTCCCTATGCAAGCATTTACTTTGATTTACCCGAAGAAGTGACGTGCTGGGCAGGCCCCAGTGTTCATCATTCCGGGAGCATCACTTTGCTTTCGCAGTCTAGGTTTGGGGCGTGCGGTTGGAGGATGATGGCTTTGTGGAGGAGATTCACATTTGCCCACTCTCGAGTGCATGCCTCGTCTGCACCACCAGCCCATCCGTACGCCTTAGTCCTACTGTCTTCATAGGCCACGGTCATGTTTGCTGTTGCCGTGTCCCGGTTGCACACTTGCAAGGGGCCTCTATGAAACGAAACTTAAACCTTAAACGGCCCTAGGACTCATAGGATCATAGGATCCACTCAGATTCATAACCAATTGCAAGGTACTGTAGCACTGTGCGCATCAGGTGCCGTCGTCGAGGATGCAGCAGTCCCAGGGGGTGCAGTGTTTAGGTATCAGGCCTGACGAGGTGTACAGTGGGGTTGAGTGCTTAGGTCGCCGTAGTTGCAGCACAACATGAAGAACTATGAAACAGCAGAGGCTCGGAGGTTCGCTTATTCCCTTGACGGTATCCAAAAGAACAGTTTGGAAGTGTTGTGGACATCTTGTCTGCACCGATTTGTTGAAAAGCCTCCCACAGCAAGTCGAAAATTGATGCTCTGAAAGCCTTGAGCCCTAAGCCCTAAGCTCTATGGGTCCTAACACCGATTCCCTGAACCTACTCGAGCTTGCAGGGCTGTGCATTTTATTTTTTTAAAGATGCTTTCAGGCATTCGGCAGAGTAAGGGGTCTCGATGGGGCGGGCATCGTCTGGCGGATATTGCGTCAACAAACAAGTCTGCACATAAAACGAGACCTCTGGCACTGGACCCTCAACCTCACACGAATCCTTCTAAGAAAAGTTATCATCTCTGCACCTCATGAGCGAAAGAGATGAAGGCCTTGAGCTGGGGTAGCTCACTAGATTGCACGGTTGCATCTGGTGAATCTAGTGTAGAGTGCGGTCACATCCAAGAAACCTTCGAAGACAAAGACGGAAAGGTCACCTTCGACTTCCAGGGCCCTTCCCACCTTGAGGCGGGGATGAGTTCAGAGTTTATGGGTTTAGGGTTTAGTGTATGATGTGTATCACGACCTGAACAGGAGGGTTGGAGACGTTTCTCACCACCTGAGTCTCACAGACTTAGTACCGCAATCGTTACGCATAGCTGGCCTCCAAGGTGCTGTATATCCACAAAGCGCCTCTGACTGACCTTCCTGCACACAAGATTCGTTCTTTGCGCGTAACAGTGTCGAGAGCCTCGAAATCCACTAACTTCTGCTTCGAACTGTATGTGCCTGCAGGAAGGGCGGGGCCGGATTCCAAGCATGCACGCATGTATAAATGCCTTGTCTGGAGCATGTTCTTATCTGCATGAATGCTCGCATGGATGGATGAATGTATCGTATGGCATCGTATATAGTGACTTACTGTAGTGGCTAGGGTAGGTGGATAGGTTTTGTATGCATGTATGTACACATGTACATATGGAACGGAAATATATACGTACGTACGTACCTACGAAGGTGTGTATTTTCATTCATTCATATATATATATATATACATACATATTATATGTATGTATCAATGTATCAACATATCGATGTATTAGTGCAATTATGCATCTATGCATGAATTTATATATGCATGCAAGTATAAGCATATGTATGTATGGACGAATGTATGTATGTTGTTTGTGTGTACATAGCATGCGTGCATGTATGTACCTGTTCTATATGTATTTGAGTTATGGCATGTATGAGCGCATTTGTTCATGCATGTATGTAATGGTATTGCAATGTATTGTAATGTAATGTAATGTAATGTATGTCTCTGTGCGTGTATGTATGTATGTATGTATGTATGTATGTATGTAGGTAGGTAGGTAGGTAGGTAGGTAGGTAGGTAGGTAGGTAGGTAGGTATGTGTGTAGGCACAGCGCATGACAAGAAAGAGCCTCGGCCTAGTTTATTGTATGGACCTTATGGAGCTTATCCGGAGAACGGGGTCAGTCGAAGCCAGCTGACCCTCCGTGCTCGTGCAGATTCCGATAACTCTACACGAGTCCTGATGCAAAACAGGTTTACGGTTTAGCGTTCATTAAGAGCCCAGCTGGAAACAAAGGTTCAGAGGATTTCCAGGGCTTTTGGCTCATGAGCTACCCACCGATGTGCTCTGTAGAGTCAGGCCCTGTTGTGTGGCGTTGAGTGCAGAGTGCAGGTGAAGTGGAGGGCCAGAGCAAGCACGCAAGAGTCCAGCAACCTCTCAGTGGTCGACAGGAAAGAGGCCTGTTTCGACAGTAGTAGTACCCTTCCTCCCCCTTCCATTGGGGTTTTCTTATGGGGGCCGAATAATTAACAGGAAAAGGATTCCCCTTGATTATCTGCAGAACCCAGTGCGGGGTTCGGCGATAAATAAGTAAGGGTCGAACATGTCAGCAACGCCAACGGCGAACAAGATAACATCATCACAGAACTGTTTGTGAGCCAGTCCAAAACCCACGAGGTTCCGAAGATTCAAATCCGTAGGCCATTACCAATTCTTGCAGAAGCCACAAATATACAATATCGATGAGAACAAGACTCCGTTTTCACTTCTTTTTGTGAGCATTGGAAAGTATACCACAAGGGCCCAGGAAGTCTAGCATGAGCCTCACTGAGCTGTTGCTTGGTGGAAGTGTTCCATCGACAGCCACTGGACTACGTTTGGATTGAGTCGTTGAGTTCATGAGTTGCCGGCGGGTGCGATGATGGCTGGGCTCATCGAAAACCAGCTACTAGCAGAGGAGAAACACTCAGCGACACTGGTAGGATGTCTGGCACTCTGAATCGGGAGCCTTCGGGATAACAGCCTTTTTACGGAAACCTCAAACCACAGGGCAGCCGCTTCAGAAATCTCATGAACCTCCAGCATTCTGTCACCCGAGCTCGAGATCCCAAGCAGAGGCTCGCACCTGAGGCCTGAGACCCAGGATCAGAGATACCAAAGCCCTTGAACCCAGCCCTGCTAGAGCCTAAATTGAAACTCCTGGCTCTTTGCCGGACTTTTTTCTTGGAGCCCCCGAAGCACCAAACTTGGCTTTCAAACGGAGCCCTGCACTCCCCCATGGCGTAAAGTAGGAAGGAAAAACAGGCAGGACAAAAAAAACAGAAGGCCCCTAAGCCCTAAAGCCCTAAAGCCCTAAACAAAAGGCCCCTAAGCCCTAAAGCCCTAAACAAAAGGCCCCTAAGCCCTAAAGCCCCATAAAGCCCCTGAGCCCCCCGGCCTCGCCCCCCTGGCCTCGACTCCTAAAGCCCCGCGGCTTCCTGTGAAGGTTGGGCTCCTAAGAGCGGAGTGGGGTGAGGCACCGGTCCTTGAATGCCCTTTTAAGGGGGTCATACTTTTGGGACGTTTGGGGGGCTTCAGACTCTAAAGCTGAATCAGGGGTTTCTTGCAGGTTCAAGTTTTGTCGTATTGGGATTGGGGATGTTTTAGGGCTCAGGGGAAGTTTGGGACTCAGGATGTCTATGGGGTCGTTCACGGTCATTAGAAGGGCCCACAACGGCTTTCCATTCGGACTCCTAGCGGTTCCTCCTCCGGGGGCTCCTATGAAGCGTTTCCTGTAAGGGGATCCTTTCAAGGTTCCGATTAAGAGGTTCCTATTACGGGGTTCCTATTAGGGCTTAGTGTTTAGGGTTCCTATTACGGGCTTCCTACTATGTGGTTCCTATTTGGGCTTAGCGTTTTTGGTTCCTCTTGCAGCGTTCTTATTACGGGGTTTCTGTGAGGGTTAGCTTCATGCCAGCTGTCGGGACTCAGCCCTCATTCGCTGGCAGCCCCCCGGCTGCCAGAAGCTTTTTGAACCCTGAAAGCCGTAAGGTCGAAACCGTCTTTCAATCCTAAAAAAGAAGCAGCTCTATGAATGAATGAATGTAGATACACACGAATATCAACATGCATCTGCATAAACACGTGGGTTAATACACATATTTCCGTAAATGTATGTACATATACATGTGTTATAGGTGTACACAATGTGAACACATATAAGTATAAGTTTAAGCATAAGTAAGATTACACATATACGCGTCTCATCGCCTGAGCCAAGTCTGTTCCCAGGGCTCTTTCTCGGAGTTTCGCCTCCCAGCGGGTCTGGGCGCGCCCCGCGCGCCCGCAGACGTGGCAGCAGAGACGACGTTCGCTGTTTTCACGCCGCCCGGGACGATCTGAGTTTTCGGATGATGGTGTCTCTGGGTTTTTGAGTTTCTGATGGGAGCAGGGGACTGTTCGGCCTTCAGAGCCTTCTTGTAGATGTAGACACACAAAAAAATGTCGCTGCAGAAGCATCTCTAGGAGCTGCACACTACCACCTACTACTACTACTACTACTACTACTACTACTACTACTACTACTTACTACTACTACTACTACTGCTACTACTACTACTAACTACTACTACTACTACTACTACCACTACTACTACTACTACTACCACTACTACTTCTTTTTCTACTACTGCTACGACGACGACGACGACGACTGCAGCAAATACTTCATTCCCAGTGTCTCAGGATCTCGAACTTCGCGGTTGCGGGCACTGAGGCGAACAGGCTCCAGATCCGGGTTTATTGAATGCATCTGCTTGCATAGGATTGTTCGAAGGAGACCGCAATTAGCAGACGCCACGTTCTTGTGCACACGGTGTGGTTCGCTAGCTTCTAGTCGTTATAGCTGATTGGGATGATAGCTTCAGAGACACATCCACCAGGCTCCCGCAGATTGAAGGGATGTTTGCTTAGACCTTAGAAGGGTTGCGGAGATGCTTGACCTATAGGAGGATCCTCGTGGGTTCATGTGCGCGTGGGGTCTTCCGGCTTCCAGGCCCTATCCTCGGGTCATGGCTTTGTGGACGTACTTCTGTTGCATCACACTGCTCAACTGTCCAGTCTTCACATGTGCCATGTTGGATGGCTTCGGATTGGAGCATACATGGAGGACATTGCAGAGCTGAGAAATTTAGGTCCAGGTCCTACTGCTTCTAACCATGGGCCACCCAGCTTTGGCTGTTTTGCCTAAAACCCGGGCAGCAATGCCTTCACATAGTTTGCCGGGGTGCGGGGGTGAAGCTGCGAAGAGGCTGGCGCGATCGAACAGGCATGTGCGTGAAAGCTCTACCGTTCCTTCTGATAGTTTCCCGGCCCACTTTCAAGGCAGCCGTCATATTGTCAATTGTGTGACTCATATACCTGTACTGGTCAGGCATCTTCGCATTACTGGAGAGTTTGGGTCTCTGCACTTGTAACGGATATCCCACAAGCAGAGTGGCATGCGATGCCTGCTAATTTAATGCCTCCATAATATAATGAAAGTACGTACAGCATGCTCTCACACTCATTGTACTGCCTCTGTAAGTGTCTCCTGATTGAGCAAAAATTCACAGGCTCCTGGGCCAAGTCTCGGAATGCGCAGCCCAGCTGCACTGCAGCGGCTGCCGGGTCTCCATGTAGCTCGGCAGCGGAACTCCAAGGATAGTAGGGGATTAGTTGTGACTATAAGAAGCGCGGGGTGCAAGTCCTGAATGCGCCTTGGTCACTCTTGGCTTTGTTGGCTTGCGATGGCAGGTCCATGTCTACGCTAGCTTGGTTTTGGTCAAATGCTCAAGTGGTTCAAGTGTAGATAAGGCCGGTGAACATAGCTATACAGTTATAACTTGAATCAGTTTTTTGGGTGTTGGATCGTGTGTTCGACATGCTTGCATGCTGGGTTACATGCTACCAGTACCTTACAGCTATTTGGCTTCAGTATTTTACCTTGTTCGGTTTTCGTTGTTCGTGTAGTCAGTACTTGCCATATATCATTGCAGCTCTCTGTGCTACATGCTTAGCTGCTTAGGCCAGAGTGTAATGCAGGGCAGGTATCAGCAGATAGAAGAAATTTTGTTCGAGGCCTGAATACTTGGTAACACTACTTTTTTTTGTGTCGGTGGGATGACTGTGATACATATATGTATATATATACATATATATATATATAGAAAGTTACCTGCTCAATGCCAGTGTGTCTTGTGTTCGCATGGCTTCCAAAGGTAGGACCGTAACGAACCATCCTGCCATTCTTATGTTCACCCCATGGAAGTGCACGATGCAGTTTGCTAATGATCATTATCCTGTTTCGGATGAGTTCATTTCGTTACTAGGGTTGGGGGTGGTTTCTACACTTTAAATGTACTGGGGTATCCCACCGAACAATGTCTTTTTAATCCAAACCCCTACTTTAAGTAGGGGGTTCTGAGTGTTGAGCGGCGGCCGGAATTCAGCACTTTGTTTTTGACTCCATTATCATACCTGCTGGGGTGATTCTCATGCCCACATGCTACAGCTTGCCACTGTGCACTACCACCAACTACCCTAAACCCTAAACAATACACCAACCCCTAAACCCTGATTCCGAAACTTTACGTAGCAAGCCCTGAACTCCTAAACTCCACGCCCCTTATGTCCGCCCCCTATAGAGCCCTTTAGACTGTCCTTTCTGAGCAAAACCCTCAACCCCTCATACTTTCTTTTCCCAATCGAGCCCCTAATCCTGATAGGAAACAAAACGTCACGCCGTGGAATTCTGTAAAGACCTTACATCATAAAGCCTGCACTCTAAGCCCTATAAACACTTGTAAGAAACCTTACTCCCAGGATGCCAATTGCGCTGGGAGGAGGCGAAAAAGGCCTCCGATTGGCCGCGGCTTTGCGGGAACTCTCCACCGGAGGCCCGCTTGGGTTTAGGGTTTAGGATTTAGGGTTGAGGGATTAGGGTTTAGGATTTAGGATTTAGGGTTTGGGGTTTAGGGTTTAGGATGATCATAGTGGGCGGAAGGACGACTGATGCAGCAGTTTGTCATAGTTACTTCCCATATCACTATACCATAATGTGCCCCAACACCCTTTTGAAAATAGCAAGGCCCTTGTATTTCGGTTGAGAGGGCCGGTTTTGAAGGGTTCCTTAGGTTGTCCAGGCCTTAGTATACAGAAGTTTCTGGATTTGGGCATTTATACCGGGCTTGCCGAAAATGCAGGTTGAGATTGGGTTTCGGATGGTTTACGGTCCCAGAGCATTGCTACAGGCTATTCTAAACCCCCGAAAGCCCCAAGACCCGAACCCTTTGTAAAACCCTAACACCAGGTCCTCAAGCCCCAGATACCTAAACCCCTAAGAAGCCTTCAAATCCTAAGGCCACCAGACCCTAAAGTCCAAATCTAGGTCGGAAGAATCAGTCAGATTGCCCCGTTATAGCCTCAGTTATCATCGCACTACAACATACGCCAGAAACCCGCTGGTCCCTGCACTAAACCCCTACAGCGGTTAATGCTCTTGAGTACAGCAGAATATACCCCAGATCCCTGTTGAACTTCTTCGTTCAAGTCCTGGCATCCACCCCCAAAATCCCTCAACCCTGAACCCTAAGCTCTAAACCCACAAACCCACAAAAAACCCAACCCCTAAACCCCAAGAAGGCTTGTGGGCATTGATCCTTAGCCATGGGAGAGGGAAAAAAACCCCAAGAAGCCCTCAAACCCTAAACCCTAAACCCTAAACCCTACTCACAACTAGACCCTAATCAACTCCGAGGGAGCCCCTGGTACCAGCCCTTCCACGGAGCCTCGACGTCCAGCGAGATGCCATCGCTCACGGAGAAGATCCGGGAGGCCGTTTAGGGTTGAGGGTTTTGGGGTTTAGGGTTGAGGATTTTGGGGTTTAGGGTTGAGGGTTTTGGTGTTTTGGGGTTTAGGGTTGAGGGTTTTGGGGTTTAGGGTTGAGGGTTTTGGGGTTTTGGTGTTTTGGGGTTTAAGGTTGAGGGTTTTGGGGTTTAGGGTTGAGGTGTTTGGGGCAACTTATAGTAGGGTCTTGGGGTTTTTGTATGTTGTCGGCTTATTCAGGGCTGTAGAGTTATATCGACCGGCTTTACGGTTGGTCAGGGTTGCCGGTCTACTTCAGAGAACAACAGCACGGAGACCCAGAAGCCTAAGCCGAAGCCGAGTTCAGGGTTGTCATGTGCATTGCGCTTGTCTACTGTATAGACTCTAATCCCAGACCCGTAACTAAACTCTAAACCCCTAACCTCAATCCTTAAACTTAAACTCCAAAGCCAAGCTTGTAAGGCCTCTAGGGTTGCTGTTTTCGGCTCTTAGGTTGGGAACGTTGGGAGTTGAAATTGGCCCGACGAAAATCTGCAAGACTACACCGTGAAGTTTCGGTGGGAGAAGAGCCCTGAAGGTGGTGTTAACTTGAGGTGGCTTGGAGCTAACACTGCACCGCATGTGGAACTGTCAATAGACCAGAACATCGACGAAAGCATGGGAGACGCAAAACTTATAGTAGGAGTGGCACTATATAGGAAGACCTCTAAACACGGAGCCCTGTCTTGAAGTTTTGCTGTGGACGATTGCACTCTTGGTTTCACGTTCCCTGACGTTCCTGTCGGGAGGGCTGTTCCAGCCCCCGGCCTCGAACCACCATGAAGACCCCATAGCAAGCTTCCAGACAACCGTCGCAACAAGCCTTCAGAAACCCGCCTTTAAGCTCGGCCCCCCACAGCATTCTAGAGCGCAGAACCCAAGAAGCTGAAAGCTTGGTGGGAGTCTACAGTATTTCCGAACGCGAGAAGAAGTAAGGGTTCAGGAGAAACTGGCAACCTAACCCCTGCCCTCACCGTTATAAAGCTTTAACCACAAAGCGCTGAAGCCTCCACTCCCTGAGTCTATCACGAGCACCAGGAGATGCAGGACTGGAGGTCGAAGAAATGTGCGCGGGTGGCTTGGCAATCTTGCTGCGTGTGTGTGATTCCCCTTTAATTGAAAGGGACATGGTCTAATCGCATGGCCGGATAGAAGAGCTTCAGGTCATGCATCTGCAGAAGTTGACGGCCATTCGAAACCGTGAACCCAAAAGCTGTCTGTTCAGCGCCGCATAAGTCAGATATTCGAGAGATCTTTGTCGGACCGTGTTGTTGAGACTGGCAGCCTCATCCTCCATGGCTGACGGGGTCAATGGTGTTCAAGGTGGACGGGTTGGTGCACCGGGTGCTCAAATACGGGTAGTATGGTGCGGTACAGAGGAGACCTACATGTTTCTGGACCCACGCATGTCGGATGTAAAGAAGCCTTGGAAGCCGAGCTGACTTATCTGTGCATCGATCGAGAGACCTAGCTGGCACGATAGAGCATCAGGTTACAGGGGTCTCCGAAGCCCTTTAACTTAACCCTGAAGCCTTGCGCTTGACTGCTCTGAGACCCTAAACCCCAACCCAAACTCTAAACCGCCTAAACCCCAAAGCCCAAACTGAACAAAACCTAAACTTCGTAGCCAGGGGAGCGTCACCATTGAACAGCTGGCTGCCAAGCATGGTGACGGATTTGTGGAGGCTCGGGGTGAAAAGGCTTAAGTCGGGCTATTCAAAGTGCAACTTCTCTTATTCGGCCGGGATGGGCTGGGTGGGCAATGTTTTAACCTTTTTGGGGACTTTGTACAGCCCGACCTTACTTTAAAAGGTTGAGGGTTAACTTTTTCTGGTGGTGGGGGCTCCAGTACTCAGCCAGTCAGTTCTGCTGCAGCATGAGCTTAGACGTCATCAGTCTGATGAACTGGAGACCTGGCCGAATAGTATTTTTGGTACAACTAATGTTGGCCACAACGACATCGGTTTCGAGATACTGGGCACCTCCCGGCATGGGCGTGGAGCATGTCGTAGTGCAAGTCCTGGGTGCAACATAAAAGCTGGGTCACTCCCGGCCCCAAGGACATGATCTTGGCCCCTGACCCCAAGCCCCATGGCCGGACCTTCTCAAAGCCCGGCCTGGCCGTGCCGAGCTCCGAATGTTTTTTTGTACTGCACCGCCCCCGAACCTTAGTTTAATTCTAGATTACCCCTACAGGCCAAAGTCCAAGGCCCGGAACTCAAAGCCCCAAGAACCTGCAAACCCTAAACCAATCAGGCCCCAGACCCAATTAAAACCTCTACGAATGCCCGCTTTTTATTGTGGTTGATGGCAGGCGACCTTGTAGAAGCCTCGTAGTACCTGATATAGGACCCCAAGAGAGCACCATAGAACTGCTTTCAGAGGATCCCTTGGCATTGCCCCGCTGGATGGCGAGTCTTGCACCACCCTCGACAGATTGGGAGGCATCATGGGTTAAGGGATTAGGGTTCTGTTTACAAGTTTGGTTTTGGGGTGTCAATCTCTGTGTTTTGAGTTGCCGAGTTGGGGGGCTCGAGGGAGTCGAGATTACAGGAATCGGGGGTTTGGGGTTTCGGGAGGTTTTGATGCCGTTCTGTATGCAGCTCCTGCATGAGCGGCAGTGTTGGGCCCTTGTTCGATCACGTTGCAGTGAGGGGTCTGCGGTACTTTTTCAGCTTTCGGTTGCTGGATTCGTGACAACGAATGGGAACAAGAACGGAGATCTGGAGTTCTAGAGATCTTCCTGCAGTGGCCGCATGATCTTGATCATTAAGTCCTACCTTGCCGGGTTTCCGACCCCCGGACACAGATTTGTATGCTGCGGATCATAGACTCACCTGCCAGGACCTGCCAGCCCTGATCCAGCATAGGACAAGCCGAACAGGTACGTACACAGGCTGTTTTAGTTTCAAGGCTTACAGCTAGCAGGTTTTCTTGTGCCCTGCAACTACCTTCTGCTGCATCCAATGTGCGCGTTAACTGTAAACCCTATACCCTGAGACGCAGACATATAAGCTCACGTTATCGCTCGCATCTGTATCAGGGTATCCTTGTTCTTTGAGTCCTGTAGGGTTACGGGTTTTGATCAGAATGTAAGCTCTGGACTCTGGAAATTGTAGGATGTAAAATGTAGGCTCTATGGTAAAGTCGAGAGATCGTCACATGCGAGAGCTTAAAGGCCGCGTACCACACCCCCAGGAGCTCACCATACCCTTAATCTCAAATCTTAAGCCAATGCCACACGCAAACTTAAAGCTAAAGCAGCTGATTTGCCTTGAACCCACAAAGCATACATGGTGTGAAGGCGGCGGACATTGTGCAAGGCCAGTGTTTGCTTTTCAAGGGCGAGCTGCTCTAGCCGCATCGGGACCCTGGGGTTGAAGCTCTGTGTATGTTATTGCTTAAAAAAAAGTTTCGCTTAGGCTAACACCCTTGGATGTTGTGGATCGTCAGGTAGACTAAGAGATGTCTGGCTCTCGGTCTTGTAGTGGCAGACAGGCGTCACGACGTGCATCCGAACTTCCAGCCCTCTGAAGGGAGGCCACTTCATGTGCCCTGCTTTGTCCCATTTGGTTGGGACCCAACTAATCAGCGAATCCACCCGAAATCAGCCCTGCCCTTTAAAACCTGTTCTGGATTAGGGGGGAGGGTTTCGAGGCTCCAAATACCCTGAGAGCACAGTAAGAGCAAAAGCAAGAGCAGTATTTAGAGCAAGAGCAGGAGCAAGAGCAAAAGCGGAGCGCAGTACAAAGCAAAAGCAACAGCAGGGGTAAGAGCAAGAGCAGGAGCGAAAGCAGGAGTAATAGCAAGAGCAGGAGCAGGCGCAAGAGACCGCAGCAGAAGCAGGCGCAAAAGCCAGCGAGGGGGCAAGAGCCAGAGCAGGAGCCAGAGCACGACCCCTCAAAGTGGCAGTAGGGATAAACATATCCCCTAAAATACTTTCCGAGTTTTTATTGGGCCCGCCCCCTCCCCGTTTAATATTAGGGGGAAGCGATTACCCTGACTTGCTGCAGCTACGGGCGGATTCTGCCTGATCAAAGCGCTTTTCTTTTGCGTACTGTTGTTCATCCCTACAATGTGTCAGAGCACCCCCCGGGTTTCTCCTGCCTCGGCAGCCCCAACTGCGATGTCGCAAACGTTGATCCGTAACTGCCGAAGCTGAGCAGAGTTGGGGTGCAAGATACTCGCGCGATGCTGACCATGTCGTGGGTGTGAAATCTCTAGTTGCTCGGCTTGTGCATGTTTGGTGCTCTAGAAGACCAAAGCTGAGGCTACCCCGAAGGGGTGTCTATGTTCAAGAGGAGGAACACCGGCTGCTTTTCGACCATCCGCCACAGAAGTGCCACCAGACCAGCTTGGCACAGGTTTAGGGCTTTAGGGCTTTGAGCTTACACTTTGAAAGTTCTAGGGTTCGGGGCTTAGAGGTTCTATTCAGAGCTTACGGTGTCGTTTTCACCAGAAGATATACACCATGTGGTTCATCGGCTTTTAGGTCTTCTCTGTTCTGTCAAGCTTTAAACTGAAGCTTGCAGGCTGTAATGTACAGTAACATAGAAGCCCAAATACTTTCCAACACTAATCCTTGGGGTTCCTGTGGTTAGACTATAGAGTAGCCCAAGACCCCCTGCTGCTGGGAAAGCCTTTAGCCTTGTTGAGCGGGTATTTGTGTATAGCCCTAGTGGTACCGCTGTCTAAAGATTGGCCTATAAAAACCCAATATAAACAAAACAGGGAGCTGTCGCTGCGTTTCTGAGAGAACCCTTACGGTCTTTGATCGCGCGTATTTGGGGCACCAAACAACAAAACCCTGAACCCCTACAATCCAGAGGGAACACACAGACTGTGGGTTGGCTAGTGCTGTGGTTTTGGGGAGCCCCTTGCGGTGGATGCTCGGTACATCCCCGCTCGTGTTGAACGCCGACTGCGCATCCTGAGCCTCATTCGTTTGGCAAATCATCTTGTGAGAGCCTAAACCCATCTAGATCCTCAGCCTCTAAACCCGAAGCTTTCTGCGCCGCTAGATGCGCAAGCCTAAAACCCCGGAACCGAGTTGTGAGAGCGCCAACCCCTGAACCTGAATGCCCCAAAATGAGCGTAGCCGGGCGCTCTCCCAAGCCCTAAAACATCCCTAAGCCTTAAACCGCTAACCCCCAAGCCCTAAAACCCCAAGTCAAGTGGGAGGGAGAAAAACCCAAGTCCTAAACCCCAAGTCAGGTTTTGAGCTGCTGAGGGATGACAAGATCAGCTCGGAGAAGGTCTAGGGGTTTAGGGCTTTTAAAAGGGCTATAAGGGTTGTTAGGCTTAGGAGTCATAGTATAGGGCTTCCGGGGTTCTCGGGGGTCGGAGGATGTAGGGTTTGGAGTTGTGTTTTGGGGATTTTGTGGTTCAGGGCGCAAGATCAGCAGAGTCTGGGCTCGAGAAATGGAGGGATCTTAGGGTTTGGGAAGAGGAGGAAGCCTTCTTCATCGTAATCACGATAGGAACCCCAAACAGGTAATGCAGAAAGTCATGTTACCGTGAATTCAAGGGGCTTCTAGTTCAAGGGGTGCTCAGGGGCCTTGTCATTTCGCAGGATGGATGCACAAGGGTTTAATTAGGCTTCAAAGTTTTGCGGGTTTGGACTGCACTTTCAAGATTTGGGGCTTGTTGAGGGGTTCTGCGAGGACAAAGCACCCGGGACACTGTGCACGTTGGAAGATTTTGTGTTTGAAGCTTCTGCGTCCTCAGATCGTTATCCACAAGCTGGACGAGCAAAAGCCTGCCATACTGCCATAGGGTCCAAACAACTCGCTAGAGGCAGTTCTCGAGGGACTGGGACGATGCTTGAACCTGGGCTTTGCCTTGGTGCCTTGACTCGCAGAAAGTCTAGCAATAGCGAGAAGAAGCCGAATTAAAGCTACTGTGCGACAACAACTACTACGACCACCACTGACACCGCTACCATTAGGCTACCAGTATCACTACGACGGCCACCACCACTACTACATGCTGGCTTAGGCGACTGAGATCGGGGGTCCTAAAGCCTTAAATGCTGAACAATAAACCCTGAATCCCTAAAAAGCCGCAAGCCGTTTCATCTCACTTAAGTTCATGGCCTGGTTAGGTAAAGGTGCGCATGTCAGCAAACCCTAAACCCTAAACCCTAAACCCTTAAAAACCGCCAAGGAGAAGGCGGCGCAGCAACTCAGATCTTCGAGCTTGGTGGGCCTAGGCCGGGGACAAGGGAGAACAGCGGAGATTCATGGCTTAGAAGTTTGATGCGCGTCACATGTTGCATCCTTGTGTATGTGAGCTGTTCGGGGAACGCTCGCTCCCGTAACACGCATCGGCCTTAGCACGGGTCAACAAAAGGGCCTTGGGGTTTTAAAGGGCAAATTTGTGACTGCTCAGGGGTTATTATAGAAAGTGTCTGTTTGGATCCTAAGACGTTTGGACCGAAAACTGTATGCATCGCTTTTGTGGGAAGCATTTTCTTTATGGGTTTAGGTGGTGAGGGGATGTAAGGGGCCGGGGGCGCCCGCCCACAGGCTGGGCCTGCACTGGGTGGCGGATTCTGGTAACATGACGGGAACTTCAGGGTGCCACAGGCTTCGGAACAGGTTTTGACTCCGCGATTGATGTTGCTTTCCTCATCTGCAATTCTCCGACATCCTCCTACGACAAGTATTACGACGAGGACGACGACGACCGCGCAGCGACAACAGCGACGGCGACGCTTGCTCCGGCTGCTGCAGGGACTCGCGGTGTTGAGATATGGTTGTCATATATTGACGATGCTGATGCTGCGGGTGGCGCTGATGATGATGATGATGATGATGATGAAGATGAAGAAGAAGATGATCATGGTGATGGTGATGGTGGTGGTGGTGATGATGATGATGGTGTGATCACCAGGGAACACGCGGGCGATGTGGGAATGCCTGAATAACATGCGATGTGCAGCCATAGGAGCTGGCAGCATCCTAGTCCTAGACAGAGCATGAGCAAGCCAAGCTTAAGGGCTACATAAACTGTAGTGATGTATTTAGAAGACTCAAGTGCAAAGAAGACAGATCAAGGCAAAAGATCGTCACGTCAACGCTGACAGCCACAACAGCTTCCGAGAATGGATCTTTGGATCTTAAGCTCCAGTGTCGCAGTAGTCGTGGCGACTACTACTCACCGAGACCTACACGCATCCTCCATGATGCTCCGGATTGAGCCTTCGTTGAGCCAACGAAAGGCGGAGTGTTTGGGACTTCATCGTTAACGTGCAGGTAGGTTTCAGGATCTCGGGCCTCGGCTCGACTCGGGTCATGCTCTGTCCTCAGTTCTTGATTTCCCGCCACACACAGGCCCTATGAGGACAGAGATCAAAACGTGGCTCGAGCGCGACTTTGTCTGCAGATCGGGTTCTGCGGCTTTGGCTTTGGTATGAAAGTTCTCGACATCTAGAATCTAGAATCTGACCGTGGTGGGCAGGCGGAGAACTCAAGGAAGAGCACAATTGGCATGTCCCAGTTGGAGTCTAGCTTCCCAAAAGAGTTGGCTCCCACATCTCTATGTCCATGAGCCTTGTGCATGTGAGGGAGGGGGGTTTACAGCTTGACATGGGATGGTTGGTACAACCGCCAGTGACTATGGCTTGCACATTATCCGGTGCAGCTCGACTTGCAGGTTTTGTTGCGATGAGGTTCCAGATAGATGTCTCAGTCGAGAGTTAGGGAGAAGTTTGTCAACATGGTTGGGAGCTAGAGTAGCCAGTCAGAGTTTGCGTTTCAGACAGTAGCCGGCAGTACATCTCAATGTTTCAGCCTGCTTCCAGAGGAGAATCGCTAAATCCGAAGCTGAACAGATTTACACAAGTTGCTTCTTGTAGTTCTAGTATAAGGAACCCCCACAGCCCTTGTCTAACTAGGCCCCACATGCGTCAGGCGCCGTGCGACTTTCACGGGTTAGAATTATCTTTTTCCTTGGGCTCCTGTACGATTTCTACGAAGAAGTCGTTGTTGCTATACACCTTTCTGGGTTTGCGGGCTTGTGTGCAAATTTACTTGGCGAAAAATGGATTGAAGGCTTCAGTCTCGTAAGGAACGGGCTGTAACATGATTGTCTTACTTCCTGTGGCTTGTGGGAAATTTTATTCAGGAGTAGTACGGAACGGGAAGTAAGCTATAAAGAAGATGATTATCTTAGTTTCCCTGGCTTGTGGGCAAGTTCTATTTAGGAGTAGTAGAGAGGTGGCAGTAGGCAATTCTTAACATGATTATCTTACTTCGTATGGGTTGTGGGCAAGGTTTGTTTAGGACTAGTAGGGAATGGGCAGTAGGCAGTACTTAACATGATTATCTGAGTTTATATGGGTCCAATTGTGCGTGAAGGCCTGAGCGACCCCTGACATGGCAACTATGAAGGCAAAGCTAGGATGCAAGCCAGGAAGTTATTATTCCCCCCCCCCCCCCCCCAAACCCCCCACCCCGCCACCCGGTCGTGAAAACGCAGCAATATTCAGCGGCTTCTGGCGCACGTGTCACCAACTAGTGAGGCCCCGCACAGTCGAGGAAGGCAAGAGCCTGCAGCGGCTAAGAGCTTTATTCCAAGTCTAGGCTGGCTACTAGTATGGAAATGGCTCTTATTTTCTTTATTGCGTTTATTTGTTACAGGTCTTGTAGTTGTGATAAAGTTCTTATAGTCAAGATAGTTCTTATACTTGTTTCTATTCTTATCGCTAATATTATACTTTAGTGTTTGTCTACTTGAATACGGTTCTTGTAAGTTCTTACAGTTTTTTTGTTGGTTGAGGTCTTCGCAGCGTCGCCGAAGAGCTGCAGATGCCGTCACTTTGGAGTTTTGGTTTGAAAAGACGTAGTCGGGTGTGATATGAAAACCGGATTCAGCCGGACGTGTACCGATGCCTGCGGAGGGGTTTCGGTCGCGGTCTTACGCATGAGGCTTGGATCCCGTGGAGTGATGTACTCAACCCGGTTCACCGAGGATTGACAGGAAATCGCTGCAGTCCTTCACGAGGCCTTCTTCAGACCATGCATCTTTTCCCGACATGCAGACTAGGAAACTGGTTTGATTCTGCAGTCATGAGGCTGGTCAAGCTACCTGCCCCTTTTCTCTTAACGATCTCGGTTTATAAAACTGTAAACATTATACCACGTCTGTCCAGGTTGTTATGTCTGCCCATGTCTCGCTCTATCAGTTTGTATCTACATGCACCCCAAGCCTTCTAAATTTCCTAAACTTACTATGTAGGTTACTGCAGACCTCCACAAGTCGGGATCACCCAATCAAGGTTTTGATTTTGTGTCGATCCGGAGACGTCAACTCGCGCTTGGGATGCACGTCTCAAATCTGCCTATGCAAATGGTTTGGGTTTTTAGTTGGCTCCGTAATTTACCACTTTGGGTGCCCTCATGCCGTTCTTTTTGATTGAGATACTGTTCCTGAGGCTTCTTGCCCATGCTTTCTGCCACGACCTGCCGACCAAAGCCGTGAAGCCTAAGCACGCTTCGTCTCTCTACGGTACCTTCGCAAGCAGTCGGGTCCGACCTCAACTTCCGTCCTTGCCACAGGCTTCGCGCTCCGCTACGGGCGGCCATCGGAGTTGCCAAGCGCCAAAGAACCGCTGGATCTCTTAGCAGTTTCCTTCTAAGTCGGCCTTCTACCCCACCAATTCTGGGACCCTTCTCTTCATGTGCTTCTTTTCGGGCGATTACAGCCTGAGCCCTCTTGCCTTCGACCTGAAACCGCAAGCCTAAACAAGCAAGAACCCAAGCAGCGCGCCCGAAATCGCGGTTTCGGCTCCCAAAATCAGACCCCGGTTGAGACTGCTTTCTATCATGCACATATCTAAATCTATATCTATATATATATATTTTTTTTTATAATGCGTGCATATATATTTAAATATACCACCGCTATGTTCAGGAGTCTTGTGGTTGCTGTTAGTAGTACGAGCTGGTCGTATCATCGTCGTCATCACCACTTCGGCTTGACTCTTACAATGTTCATGGCTCGCGTTCAACCTTATACAGAAGGTGCTTTTGTTTGTTCTTAAACCCTAAACCCTAA